GGGAATTTCGTATCTTTCTGGTGCTTCTAGTGGCATTTTTCTCGTTTGTCAGTTTAGGAAACTGTTCTCAATTAGTTTTAATCGAACGTGATTGTGCTTAATGCTTTGAGCCAACCTCTTTCCACCGTAACTTCATCTCAGGTCTTAAAAGAAACCAGTCTGTGGAGACGCTCAGTACAATGCCGCTGTCACTCACCCCGTCGAAGCAGAGCGCTGCGTGCTAGAGATAACGAGCGATCTGATGAGCTGTTTGGTTTCGGTAATGATTTCTAGGTGGCAAAGGCGTAATTTCATATAGAGGTGCGGCACGCAGGACGGTAGGGTGCCACGTCTGCACGTAGCGTTCCTGCGGCAACCTGGCGTTCTCCAGCACGTGCAGGAGGGGCTGCCGGAGCAGCCAAAGCGAGCGGCGGTGCAGTGGGCACGGACGAGCAGGGGCTGAGCGTGGGGTTTGGTGGAGAGGGCGGAATTCACCGACAAGCCAGAGCTCTGCTTCGGTCACACCTGGCTTCAGCAAGGGAGGGGAGGAACGTCCGTTGCCCTTGTTTTCGTGAGCAGAGCGTTATTTATCAGACTGGGAAACAACCAGCACCCGCCAGCTCCTCCCTGCTCTCCAGGCGATGCTAAGCCCGCCGGGAGCGGTCAACGGGGACGTGAGGAAGCAGGCGATTCCCATCCGCTCACGACATACACAGCCTGTCACGAGCCTTTGCTACGGCAAGGCATTCGGAGGAGTCTGAATGCCAGAAGTCTTCGCAGGCGTCTATCGTACAATCCATATCATTTTAGCAGTAACGATTTAATAACAGTATTAGTATTTAGCTAGAGTTTGCAAAGTATTTTAATATTCAGTAGTCAGGAGATTATTCAACACGAGATGGCAAGGTTTGAATTCTGCCAATTTCCGCTGCTTCTATCTTTGATGCACTATTTTAAAAGCAATCTGACGAATAGCGAAAGGCTTTGTGAGTAACCAGGAGCTGGAGTGTGGCTTTAGATTCCTTTGATCTTTTTCAGACTTTTTTTTAATCTTACGGGATCATTGGCTCTTATCTGTCATCTTCCACAGCCTTAGCTGTTGTCAGCGTTCTCTTTAGCTGCAGCGTATGTTCCAAGTCAGATTTACTGAGGAAATTTGAGAAACGGTAAAATATGCAACTCCGGGGCATCTCTGCGGTGCCTTTGTTTTAAATTATTCACAGTAATAATGACGCATTGGAAGTCCATCTTGCAGCCGACTGTCGTGCTGCGGGGAGAAAGGTGGTGCAAGTGCACTTCTGCGTGTGAGTAAACCAGAATGCAAACCCGCACGGATGATAAACTTCTTCCCAGCCTGCAGGAGCAGTTGAAGAGCGCCGGACTGCACGTGTGCTGTTTGGGGAAGGATCTAGCTTTTTAGGTGTGGATTCAGACACGATAATTCTGCGACTCATACCATTTATCTTGCTAGGAGAAAAAAAAAAAATCTACCATCGTAGTTCCAGTGTGGTCAGGTAAAAACATTGTGTAGATAGCAAGTGTTCATTTCTTCACTAAATGCATATTTATAGAGTAGATAGGAACCATTTGTAAGGTAAGTCCTTTAAAGTTCTATAATATTAAAAGTAGTGGTTATTGGTCTGATATATGCTGCTCTTGATTCTACACACTAGGCAAAACAGCAGTGCTTTGTGACATGCAGTGTTTTCTCTTAATGCCACTGGTGATAGGAAGTAGTTCTCTTCAGTTCCGAATCCTGTGCCCTTATCTGCTGCTTGCGAACGTAAGCAATAATCCCTCTCTACCAGTATCTAAGTGTTCTGTATCTCGTACTTTGGTTGTCTATCTGGTGACAGTGTAAGAATATTAGGCTAATATAAAAGTATCTAATTGTATTTATTAACCGTTCATACTGAGATCCAGTCTGTGACCTGTGTTTTGTATTTTTATTGTGTATCTTAGTGGTGGTGCAATTTGTATAACGAATCTTTCCAATAAAGAGCTGAAGTATCCCTTTTCCGCGTTAACACAGCCCGCATCAGTTTCAGTTGACGTGTTAACCGTGTTTGCAGAACTAGCAGGTAGGTAGCGAAAACATTTTTGGTTTTTTTTTGGAAACGGTGTTGGTTTTGAGAAGCGGGCTCCAGATGCTTTGCCTGAAGCCGCTCAAAACTTGCTCGTAAGCTCTTCACTGTGAGTACCGGCGGGACTCACTCAGTCCCCACGCTGGTAGTTTCCTGCGTACACTTTTTAAACGTGCAACTCTGAGGAATGTCTGCGCTGCAGAGAGCAGTATAGCACCAGACCAGGGAGCTGTTCACCCATTTCGATTTGCACTAAAGGTGGGTGGAAACGCATGTATATAACTTTTCTTTACCTAGAAGTGCCATCAATTGTCCTTGCGAGTTAAAACCATTCAGCATTTGATTTAGAGCGCATCGTAACCCTGAAGGACAATGTCAAAGCAGGCTTTACCTTACGCCACATTTACAGTGGTGCCGCGGCACAGAAACTCCGCGGGGCTCTGGAACCCTGCGTCAGTGAGAAAGGCACCGTCCCGCGGGCAGACACCATGAGGCACAACGCGTTCTGTGTTTACAAACACAGCTGCTGTAGTTCAGGTCCGCTGTCTCCTCACTAAATCTTCCCGACCCTGGCAGTGTTCTGCGGGAAAACAAATGAGAAAGATTGGTCTAAATTAGGGGCTGGTTCAGCACAACTGACTCACTCAGCACCGGTCACGCAAACAAAGCCATCCAAGGGGATACTGCAGCTTTGTTCACGCCTGTAACTTAGGGCAATCTTTCTTTCACTCATACCCTCTTCGCAACAGGAACAAAACTTTCTACCCCTGTATCATGTGCAATAAGTAATAATGAAGCATTCACACGACCTCTGACTTCAATGCTGGTATCCTTTTCCGGTCCTCGCTCAGCAGGCGATCGCACTATACTTGCCAGCATTAAAGCTAAAGAAAAAAATAAACCCCACCTACTAGGGTCTAGTACAACTGTTGTATGTCGCCATTGCATCGTGTTCGGTTTCTTCTCCCCTTCACTCCAGCAGACATCTTGGACCACGAGCAGGGGATGCTGGCTGCGAGCGCCTGGCCTACTCCTGCTCCCGCACGGGTAGCTGCGGGGCGAGCCGGGCACTGCTGTTCGCCCTCCAGTACGTTCCTGTTCGTGAAACTAGCGTGTGCGGTGTGAAGTGGATAAAGTAAAGCTGACCATTTAACAGTGTTGGGACTCTCCATTTGCAATCTTGTTCTACAGTTCACATATGAGTTTAGTTATAACCATGTATTAGTCATCCATATTTTATTTATGAATGCTGTTTATACAGGAAAAACTGCTGAAGTTTAATAAAACAGTAATTTAAACCACACTGCAGACAGTCTGTTTATTTAAGAGCTAACAGAGATAGCAACCGACAGCTGTGTTCAATGTCTTCACTGCGGTGACAGCCGCTTTCCTTTGCGTGAGGCGCAACACCACGTGCTTCAGCCCCAGCCTGCACGGTGCCCACAGGGTTCCCCAGCGCCCAGCACAGCCCCGTTCCCCTCGGTTTTACAGGCAGAACGGGAAGATATTTATCAGATCACAAAGTCTCCCAAGCCCCTTTCCCACTCTTGTTTAAAAGCCAGCCGCAGGGCAGTCAGTTCTGCACACGGGGAGCCAAGCAGGACAGTACCGGCTCCTTTCTCGCTCCTGCAAAGGCTGGACACCAACAGCACAACAGAGCACTTTTGACTCATCAATATAATTACCTTCAGCTCGGGCCTCTTATTAAGACTAGAGCATCTGTGAGTGCTGAAGAGGCAGAGCTCTGTGATTACTGCTAATTGAGCTGTGTATAATAATTAACATGCAGCCCCGTACAATAGTAAACACTCACACCGCACCATCAGGGCATGTGGCCTGCCCTAGGCCCCCTCCGCACACCCCAGCTGCAGCCACCGGCACAGGGCAGCTCGGCCCGCTCCTCCAACCCGGCCGCAAAACACAAGGCCCAGTTACAGGCGAAAGCTGTGGAGCCTCTCCCCTGCCTCTGAACACACGGGACATCAGCACTTACCTGGCTTCCACCAACAGAGCTGTGAAGGTCCCCAATGGATTTAAAGTGCTTTTAATAATTCAGGCAGAGGGGCAGGTGCAGGGCAGAAAAGTTCTTCCACGGGCAGTCGGGCATCAGAGCAACTGGGGACTACGGGGCCAGTCTGGCGCGGCAGCAACACCTGACTGACCCTGATGGTCTCCACCACTTCACTCTAACACAAACACGCCTCGAACACCACACCAGATTTCAACAGTCATTTTATTAACAAAGTGCAAACAGTTTTAAACGAGGAGTTGTACAGCACTTACACTGCGGAACATCCACACAGACACGAACGTCAGCACAGTCAGCCGAGACAAGGACAGCTACGGGTTGCAGTTACTCATGCTTTGTCACTAGCCAGTTACTCAGCCTCCATCACAGCTCCACATGAAGTTCAGCAGCTCAAAATGCAACGCACAGTGACAGAGGGTTTGGCAACGTGTTCACTTGGTCCACAACACAGACAGAGGAAAACAGCTTCCGTGCCAGCTCTTTGGAGTGAAGCTGGCAGAGCCAGCAGGA